TGCTATGCATGGAATTAGGAGAAAATGCAATGCCTTGGTTATAAAATAAATTGCCACTAAACAAAATTATATTCTACTCCTAAACTCCACTCATAACTCCACTAATCATTCCAAAAATCCATCCAGCCGTTGATTTCCAGCCTCTTGTAATCAACCCAATGCATGCATGGCTAAGTGTTGTGGCTGCAGTAATAGAAATAAATAATGCAATGCTGTTTATAGTCATAATTTAAGAGTCATAACTTTGTTTAATTTAAATTAACTATTGCTGAAAGATTAAACAATTATTCATATAATAGCTATACATATATGATTAATAATTTACGTATACTTCTATATGTCAAAATGCTCGAAATTAAAAGTAGAATTTAATAAAAATAAATTAACATTTAGAAGAAATTTATGCTTAAATTTATTTTAAATATTTTGGGTATTATAAGCAAAACAGGTGGCAACAATCACGAGAAAGGGAACAGCGAAACTTTCAAAGTGACTAGGGGGTATTGGGGTAGCATTACCAACCAAAGTGGCCTGGTTCCTCAACTGTTAAGTTGGAAAAGTTCGTAAACCAATATAGAGAGAAGCAACAACTTGTGAATAGGAGGGGAAAAAAATATTAGAGATATTATAGTGAACTCGTTGAGACCAATGGTAAAGTATCTGCGAATATTCAACCGTAAGGTTAGTTGTAGAGATAAAATTTTGACAATAACCATGGATATGTATACATAGGAGTTATAAATCTTAAGCAAGAAGTATTTATCCTTTCTTTAATGACATGCATATTATTTTGAAAGTAGACTCAAAAGTGTATGTCTATAATCTAAATTACAATTAGGCCAATCATTAAAAAAAGGTATCCAATTAGATGGTTTGGTCACATAAAACGGTAACCTTCCGATGACCCAGTTGGGAGATTAGATGTATTAAATTTGGCCTATGTCAAAAAAGGTAGAGATAGACCTAAGAAGACAAGGTTAGAAAATATTAGAAATGACTATTTTTTATTAGATTTAACTAAGAATTTGACTCTTACCAGGGCACAATGGAGAAAATCGATTAATGTAGCCGACCCCACAAAGTGGGATAAAGGCTTGATGTTGTTGTTGTATTTTTGGATTCAAGCTGCTGCCTAATGCAAAAAAGAAAAGGATAAAAGCATTTTACCTACTATCATACTTGGAGTTTTGTTATGCCGCCGGCCCAGGAGGGCCGACTGGACCGGTCCTGGTTTTTTCCCGCAGGCCCAAGCTGGGCGGAGAACAAGGAAGGGGCGGCGGCCCTTGTGGGCCCAAGCATTGTATTAACTTTAGGAGGGAAATTTTGAATTAAGGGGCTGTTTAGGGATTTTTAATTATTCCTTTTGCTTTAATTAGGGAGAAGGGTGTGAGTAGGAGATCATCTTGAATTTGAATGTCAATTTGAGATCTACGGTTTTTTGCTTTGGGCTCTTGGCGTTGCCGGAGATTGGAGAGTTGTTCTTCCTCTCGGATTGAAGAACAAATTGTATCTTTGCTATTTTATTCGTCTATTAGTAAAATACAAGCCTTTGCTTGAGTTCTATCTCAGTTTTCCCGCAATCTCTCACTGTTTTCTTTTGAAAAACTGCTGTCCATTGGAGAAAACTGCAGTTTTCCCCTTGTTCTACTTCAGATTTGGGCTAGGAACTACTTGAAATCAAGTATTTCCTATCAAGTTTCCACTAGAAAGAAATCAAGGTCAGGATGGTGATTTACGGGACAGTATGGATGAAGCACCTAAATGGTACGATCCACTAACTTGAAAAAGGCGACCCTTCCTTTCCAATACGAGATACCAATAACACCTTCGTGATTGCTTAGCTTATTAATTCTATGGAAGAAGACTTTGGATACCTGTACTTGGTCCACAACATTGCTCGAGTAATTCGAGAGAAAATTAGCATGGCATATTTGAATCTTAAAAATTCTCTTCAATTATATGAATTCAAAAATCATGCTTGCGATCTCAAACAAGCAAGAGTATCACCAAATACTTCATCATACTCACAAGAAGTCAAAAGAACTAGACATATTCAAGCCAAAAAATTGGTGTGGGTAGTGTGCAGATAAATACAGCAAACTTGTAAGAAAAACAAGAACCTAAGATGTTTTTACAGGCCTCAACAAAAATCAAAATGAAGTTTGTGATGCATGCAAATTTCAGTTTATTTTCATTTTTATGGTAATTTGAATATTATAATTTTTATTTAATTTTTTTATGCTATCCTATGATGGAAAACATCCAATGATCATGAGTAAGTAAAGCTTGGGCATGGTAAACCTTGGGTGTGCTAGTTACTTGGGTTCTTTTGGGTCTTAGATGTTTTTACAGGCCTCAACAAAGATCAAAATGAAGTTTGTGATGCATGCAAATTTCAGTTTATTTTCATTGTTATTGTAATTTGAATATTATAATTTTTATTTAATTTTTTTATGCTATCCTATGATGGAAAACATCCAATGATCATGAGTAAGTAAAGCTTAGGCATGGCAAACCTTGGGTGTGCTAGCTACTTGGGTTCTTTTGGATCTTTGGGCTGCTGGTTGCCTCTCGGGTTGGGCCTTGGCTGCTCAGGTTTGGGATGTGTTCTTCAGAAGCTACTTGGTTCTAGCTCATAATGCTTGAGCTAATGTTTAGCTCATTAATATGAAAAGGCATTCCTCTTGTTAGCTCATTAAGCGGAGTAGGATCTTTTCCTTTTCCCCTTATTTGTGTCCCCTCGGTTTCTTCCTGGTGTTGTTTCCCGTGGCTGGTTCTTTATCCCTTGCTGGGTGCCCCCTTCGATTTCTCCCCTAGCTGCTTGTCCCGTAGTTGCTTTACCCGGTTTTCTGTGTGTCCTTTTTGGTTGCTGTTCTGGAATGAATTTTGGCCTTCTAGCTCCCCTTACCTGATTGGTTCAGTTGGAGGTTGAATGGATGTTTGGCTGCCCCCTTTTATCTTATAAATTGGATATGTTTTTGACATGAGAAGGTTGTTGAATATTTGAGTAAAGTTTCTACAAAACCTGAGGGTTTCTTCTTCCTTGGAAAAGCTTGAGAGCTTGTTCCATTTCTCTCTTCCTCCTCTCTATTTCGTCTTGGGCACTACGTAAACGCGTTGTTGTTGTTGTTCGTTTGTTCGGCTTTCGTTTATTTTGGTGTTTGTTTGGATGTCTGCATTCTAGTTTGAATCAAGTTTTGGTCTACTTGTCTTAGTATTCTCCTCTATTGGCTCTTTCTTTCTAGTTTGCCTACATGAGTTTGTAAAAGAATCCTAGGGATTCATCCACCATCCAAAGTTGAATAAATATTTCTTAAGGTTTGAAGAGAATTAAGTAAACAAAATATAATGCTTGGAGGTACCAAGAACCCTCATCAAACTGAATAGTTTGTTCTTGAGATCAGAAGTCTAGAGCAAAATCTAAGAAATGGCTCGAGATAGGGGGGGAAAAAATAATCTTTAGTGCGATGTTTTAAAAAATTAATAAGATGAGAGAAAATTGTTGAAAACTACATGACAAGCTAGCAATTTTAATCAATCTCCCTCACCCAAAAAATCAATACAAAGACGCTCATGCTTATTAAACAAAAAGAAAAGTACTAAAGCTTAAAAGCACTGGCAATCTAGGAGACATTTGCCTAAAAAAGAGCAACTTGATATTCTTTACAAATTTTGCACTCCTGAAAAGCCTCATTTTCTTCTGTTTTAGCACAAAAAAGTAACTTTCCTCTAGCTCTTACATGTACTAAAGAAGCTTGTTGTCTCTTGATCTTCAAATCATACGAAAAGATGCTAGAAACAAATCTATAATCACTATTTTTCAAAGAGAATATGCTCTACACCTCTTAAAAGAAATTAGTTTGATGGAAGCAAACAAGTTGACACGTCAACAATCCTTTTCTAATAGATACGTATGAGTATGGGGTCATAAATCTTAAGCAGCAGTAAGTAATTTAACCTTTCTTTAAGGACATGGGTATTATTTTTTAAAGTAGATTTGAATGTGTATGTCTATATTCTAAACTACAATTAGGTCGACCATCAAAAAAACATCATAAGTTGCAGAAGTATCATACGCTCTTCTCCCGAAAGAGGTGCGAGTACTAGCAGCTGACATACTTTTAGTGAAATGAGTTGCCCATTTTACAGGAAGTGAGAAGATCTGTCATTGAGTTCCAGTACAGATTTGGTAATGAGCTGGGATTCATTTAAAATATGCCTAGAAGTTGGCATAGACGTACATAACTGCTCTATTTTTTATTTTAATTTACTTTTTTTATACATAACTGCTCTATAAATCAGGTTGATGTTACCCAAATGAACCAACATTCGATGTTAAGGCTAGCTGATAGGAGGAAAGACAATTTAAGTACACTTGGATCGTTTGAAATAAATTTAAATTTTAAGGCCATCTGCCAAGCAAACACATAAACTTAGTTTGTGACACTTAGTGTGTTGCATGTTTATCGGAGCAGAAACAAGTTTTAGAAATAATGCTGAGCGTGAAATACTTCTAAATTTTCTGGATGTGAATGCCAAAAAAAAAAAACTAGTGTAAGGTAAATATTGAAATTAGAAAAGAAAACGTCAAGAAAGGATTAGCATAGAATCCATTTTAGGAAAAATAATCACTATTTTAGGTTGTTTTACAAAATTCATGTCTGGCTAGCTGATTAATGCATTCTAAATCATTGCCACATTTTCTACCATTTAATGCATGCCAAATCATATTGTACTTGTTTAAATTTGACAGTTTACCCTGGCTTCCAAGTGGGATATAATAGATGCTACGACATACATATAGCCCACGAACACACATTTAGATGTGTTTACAAGAGATAAAAGCAAGATCACATAGCATAGCGACAGGATATAGCTAGAATCTGGAGCAAGTAGCAAAGTATAAATAAATCAAACTAGAAGCACCTGATTGATTGATGACTAAATTTCCCTGCAGTACAAATTGTTCACACGTATAAATGGCATGTATCATGACATACCTTATCATAACCAGAAGATGAGCTCTCAGTGGCATCTAATATATGAAATACTTTGCTCCTCTGCATGCCAACAACACCAGAATCTCTACCATAAAATATCAAGTCGGGTTCTGAAGGTTCTAGCGGCGTATGTACACTGTTTGCCATTTTTCGTTTAGCCGCATTCTTTCGGTTTGTCCATGTTTTCTTAGACGTCCACTCTCTGAATGTATTTTCCACATCCTTGCCATCAGTAGGACCTGTTAAATTTTAAACAGGACTGACATGAAAACATCAATGCTGAAAAGCAACAACACAAGTCCTTACACATTTTCACATCAGTATGATATCTTGTAGGAACAAGGGAAAATGTTGATCCATCAGCTACAAAAAGGCGGCACCGATCCCCAAGTTCATATTTCTGTAACATAGTGCGGCAGGCAGCTAATCGGTGTCGTGCAACATCTACACCGGTAATGGTTCCCGAGTTACCAAGCAAGTCAGCAAGCATGCAGAGCTTGGCACCTAATATCACAGGCAGGTGAAGACAATAGCGGTTTAATAACAGAATGCAGAAATAATCTAGTAGTTGTTATTCTAGCTTCTGCAAATGCAGGACAAAAACCTATAGATGCATGACTGTGGTGCCTTCATGGGTTTGCTAGTATACAGTACCTATTCTTGTGGTATTCTTGACTGTAGGTAATCATTAGGGTAAACAGGATCTATTATTGCATGATTGGGATTCTTTTTTGAATTCTTTGGATTTATTCATTCATTACATTATTATTTGAGTTCTGATTTTTCATTTTTGTATTTAAGATTTTAATTTAAAAAAGTTTTAAGCTTATTTACTGATATGTGATTAGTGAATCATAAATTTCCCTGGTATGATTTGCATGCATCACATCATTCTAATTGCATTAGGAAATCTTAACTCAAAGACCTATATCATCATGCATTAAATTACTCTTAGAGCTTTAGGTTACATCAACATGCACTCAAGAACATGGCTAATTATCCATGTAACCTGACAAATCCTACTCAAATCATGCTACCAAGCATCTCCTTGACCTCACTTATTATCACGACATAACTCGAAGACTCGAATTAACGAAGCGGGAACAGACGATCAGACACTTAGTACCTTTCTTTCAATAACTTAAACAATTAACAAACTAACATCCCACATATAACTGAAGAACCACTAAAACAATTTTACAAATTGAATATATACATAAACTAGTTCTTACCTATTATCATTTGATCTTCTTCTTCTGTAGGCAAATTTTTCTCTTTCGGTTATTTATTTGTTAGAAGATTTACCTGAGATTTTAGTTTAACAGTTTGAATTTACATAGTAAAATCGATGGATAAATATAGATTGTAGTATAGCAATTAAACATATATAAAAGCAACATGTCCTTTATCTTTCTTGTATAGTTAACATATATATAATATTTCATAAACTGTAAAATCTTATTATTTGCCTTCCAAGTAATTTGTTTCTTTTTTCTATTTCATTTATTCATTTTTCATTTGCCATTTATTCATTTTTCCTTTCCATTTAGTACAGAGCACCGTCTAAACTTTTGTACTAATGAAGGTTAACCATTTTCATTTGACGTGCATGGGTACGTCGCATCCATAGCCAGTATCACAAGGGAATGAATTACTGAATTTGCATACCTGCACATTTTTCTTCTTCTTTTTTAATACTTTCATTTACATGTTATAAATTATTTTATTCATTTCATTTTTTTTTATTTACATGTATTTTAATCGAAATATGCACTTTTCATACATATATATCTATTCATATTACATTATAATTTTAATTGCTAAACTTTCATCATTTTTTAACATAATAACATTCAAATATAAATAAATAAATAGGCATGATACTGTATTTAAAATTGAAATAAAAAATAAAAGAATATAATTCTAATAAAATAACTCTAATTACCAACTTTAATTACTTTCGTGTATACATATCCTTTCAAATCCTTGATCTTTGAAATACTGAATAGCCTTCCTTAATGCAATCTAAAATCATGCACACAATTATATGAATATATACAATTACCTTAAACTATATTTTCCATTAAATTTGAATAACTTTTGCATTAACATTTAATTACCTCTTACCTATTCACTTCCTATAACACTTGTTGTAAATTAATATTTTATCTCAGCTCATTGGTCAACTCATTCAATCAATTGATCTTCCTTTTCATCGACTCAAAGATTTCACCGCCTATATAAATCCCAAAATCTCAATTCTATATACAAAACATTAAATTCCCTTATTTTAAAATAAAACAAAACAACTTACATTTCACCAAATAATAAAATAGTTGAACACTTCCTTTTTCTTCTTTAGTGTATTCAACTTTTCTAAATTAAATAAACAAACATATCTTACACAAGAATTTACATTAATAGGCGGTTAATTTCTAAAAATTATTAAAAATTAATTATTCTTAATTTAAATTAAATTAAAATAAAATACCTCGATGATCTTTCTTCCAAATTTCCTTCTCTTTTCCTAGACTTCCTCATCCATCTAACAAATAATAAAATAAAATACTAAATTACTTACCTATTTTAGCAATCGAGAAAAAAAAATAAACTCCTCACAAGCACCATATTCTTCTTCCTTACCCAAATTCTTTTCTTTCTTCTCTATTGTTGCCTACTCTCGTTCAGAGCTTTCCTCGATTGTATAGTTCACTAGAGTGAGCAAATCAAAGTTATCTCCCACGAGGAGTCATAACTTTTCACTCCCAAACCCATTTCCTCGCTCATTTACATGATTCAGTCTCGCTAGTAGCTCCTGCACTCGGCCAGCTCGTGCCCGTCTCTCTGCTCGCCCGCTGGCTGCTACTATTAGGGCCGATTCAACTGAACTGAACAAGCCAATTCTTACACTTATGGCAACAGTCGCATCCAGTTGTAACTCCCTCGCCTTCAACTTGGTCCAAGTGTTTAAAAAGACCAACAAAAAGGAGGAAAACAATATCTGATGTTGCCACAAGTTTCATAGCCTTGCCACAAAGCCCACATCAATTGTTAATAAAGTCATTTCGCTCACAAAAGATATAATGTATTTAAGAAAAGAGATGAACATCTAATTACTTATAAGAAGGATCTACATAAAATATTTATTGATTTAGAGAATGAAAAAGTTTCAAGAGAAACTGCTTTTGATAGTTCTAGAAAAGAAAGGGGTTAATGATGCTTATATTCAAGTCACTAAGGATATGTATGCAGATGCTATTACTTATGGTCAAACACAAGGTGGTTTGATCATGCATTTTCCTATTTTAGTTGGATTACATCAAGAATCAACATTAAGCCCATATCCTTTTGCTTTAGTCATTGATGTTCAAACTAAACATCTGCAAGAGGACGCACCTCGGTGTATTCTTTTTGATGATGATATTCTTTTGTTGATAAGACTAGAGAGGGAGTTGAAGGAAAACTTGAATTATGGAAATCAACCTTAGACTCTAAAGGTTTTCTCTTTAGTAGATCTAAAACTGAATACATGAAGTGTAATTTTAGTAGTAATAGATATAATGGTAGGTTCGAGACATTGAGTGATAAAGTCATTAAAAAGAGTGCATGTTTTAGATATCTGGGTTTATTGTTCAAAGCAACAATGAAATAAATGGGAATATTAGTAGAATTCAAGTTGGATGGTTGAAGTGGAAGAATGCATCAAGCCTGTTGTGTGATAGAAAAGTCCCCCTCAAACTTAAGAAAAAATTCCATAAGATGGTGGTGGACCTGTACTGCTTTATGGCATAGAATTTTGGCCATTAAAAGAGAAGCATAAGATTAAGTGTTGCAAAGATGAGGATGCTCAAATGGATGAGTGGCTTCACTCTTAGCGGTAGAATGTGAAATGAGCATATATGTGAAAAAGTTAAAGTAGCTCAAATGGACGATAAGATGAGAGAGAGTTGCCTTAGATTGTTTGGTCACATAAACAACCAGCCTTCCAATGACTTGATTATGAGAGTAAATGTATTAGATTTGGCCTATGTTAAAAAAGGTTCAGTTAGACCTAAAAAAGCTTGTTACAAAATATTAGAAATGACATTTTTTTTATTAACTTTAAATGAAATTTTGACTCTCAACATAAAAATGGAGAAAAATTATTCATGTATCCGACGACATGTAGTGGGATAAAGGCTTGATGTTGTTGTTGGTGGTGGTGGTGGTGGTGGTGATGTTGTTGGTACCTATACCTACAATTATTCTTGCAGCTAGGCATTCCCACATGTATTGTTATCAAGTGGCACTAGAGAAAGTGAAATGTTTTATTTGTATTTAGCATGGGTATAGTGACTTAGAACGTACATGCAATGATGATTTGGATTAAGGAATTTGCACGGTTAATTTTAAAAATCACAATAATTATATATTTATATTGATTATAAGCGACAAAATAAAACACAAAGAGCGGTAAGATAAGCTTAGGTTAACTCACATGCATTGGTGTTAAGATCATAACACAGTCAATTTAATCTAACATTGCATGCATGATTGTTTTTCAACAATAAATCTCAATGTTAACAATAAGATTAGTCACTACAAGAAGATCCTTTACCCAACTCTTCAAATTACTAGGTTTTAGCGGAGAAGCATTAACATGATCTTCATGAATATAATAAAACCACAATCAAGGATGCAACTATAAAGATAGAGAGTCAGCTGTCGAGTTTACCCAAAGATAAGAGAGATACGCACTCTAGCAAGGTCGTTTGAATGCTGGAAAAGAAGTGGACAGCAAGCACAAGCCTTCTTGCACCAAGGAACAACCGGGAAGAGGTGCAGAACTTCAGGACAACAGTTTCCTAGCGTTAGGAGGGCTGGCAAAGGTCCTTGTTGGAAATTTTTGGGCAGCAAGAACCTTGGTTGGAATTTTCTGAATAGCAAAATCTGGACTGGAATTTCCTGGACAGTAGGAAAATTCTTCCAATGGAGGCTCTGGACAGCAGTGTGGGGGTTCAGACAACAGGCCGGCCCCTTTTCCTAGCCGAAATTCCCTTCATAGAAAGTAGGAGCTTCAGGAAAAGAGACGGAAATTGAAGGTGACGGCTAGGTTGGATGGGGTTAGGGTGGGGCTGAGTTGGAAACTTAGTGGAGTATCTTATTTAGGTATGGGAGGGGGAGAGAGAGAGAGAGTACGGCGACTATAGGGAGAGCTGGCTTGGTGGTTTAATTAAGGAAGGTTAATTTGAATTTGAACCCATCCAATTGAGGGAGAGAGGGAAAGTGGGCCGGTCCTTGATGGGGATTTTATTGGGTACTTTAAAAGGGGTTGCCAAAATTGGATATTTAAATTAAGAAAGGAGATTAGAAGATCTCCGTTTCAAAATTCAAATGAATTTGAATAGTGGGGCCTTTCCTAAATTAACTCATCTCATTTAGGAAATCAATTTCAGATTTTAAGAGGTTAAGGGTACGTTTGGGACGGCTTCACAGCTGCGTTGCTGTATAAAAATTTGTTAAAT